GCCTGAAACGTCAGCCTTCCTGCTCCTATGCTGCTGCTTGGCCTGCTGTGTTCATCCAGCTCTACACCTTGTTATATTAGAGAAGGAGGATGTTGGGTGTTGTTTACCACTAAACTCCATTAGATAGGATCGAACAATGTGATCAGGCTTTGGTCAATTCATGGCTGAGTGCCAGAGAACATTCTGAAAACGGAGCATATTTTCAGATAAGCTCGCAGAACAAAGGAATTTTCTCAGGAGAAGCCTTCCAGACCAAATTAGACGAAAAAAGAAATAAATGTTGCAATGAATGTATTTTTTAAATTGAGTATTGGTTCTTAAATGATTAAGTAAAGTAGGATTAGTTTAATTAAATTCTGAGTCAGTTCCCTGTCCTTTGTCTGTCACACAAGGGAAAGTACCCAAGTGAAAAGTTTGAGTACACCTTTTCAGGCAACACCTTACTGGTAACAGCACTTTAGGGGCAGATCTGAGGACTTTCAAAATGAATTGCGGGTTTCTGCCTCCATTGTCAAACTGGAAAGTAAATTCCAAACCCCACCATCTTCTGGTGATAAAGCTTTTTTTCATGTTCCCTCTAATCTTTCCATTAATCTCCTTAAATCCGTGCCCTTCTGGTAATTTACCTCTTCTTCTAGGGGAAACAGATCTTGTCTTCCCTGTCCACTTTCTGGAGACCTTTCATTATTTTTTACATTTCAATTAGAACATCCCTGAACCTCCTCTGTTCTGAGGAACACAGCCCCATCCTTCCTAAAAGCTGCAATTTTCAAGCCCTGACAACATTTTTATCAATCCTCTTTGCCCACTGTCTGGTACAATTATATCCTTCCTGTGAGCAGAACTGAGGAAGAAAATTCCAGTTGGGACCTCAACAGTATTTTATGCACTTCCAAATGCTTTCTTCACCATTTTATATAGCTATCCTGCCAAGGACTTGTAGATGTGCACTCCAAGGTCCAGATCTATTCTCAGGAGTTTAGAAGAATGAGAGTTGATGTCATTCACGCATACAAAATTAATGCAGGGATTGACAGCATCAATGCAGGAAGGGTTTCTCCCTTGGTTGAAGGGAAAACCAAGAGGCACAGCCTCATGGTAAGGGGTAAACCATTTAGGACTGAGATGAAGTGGAATTTCTTCAATGGTGGGTGATGAATCTTTGGAATTCTCTGCTGCAGAGGACTGTGAAGACCCTAGACATTAAAAACATCAAAGTACATGGGGATAGTTAATGACAATTATGCTGAAGCAGAAGATCAGTTATGATATCAGTGGATGGTGGAGTGCTGATGTGCTGAATGGCTTCCTCCTATTTCCTTCAGTCTCAATTGCCTATGCCTGATCCTGTGGTTCTTATCTTGTTGCTAGTTGATGAACAGAAAGAAAGAAACTATTGTATTTGTCCAATACTTTTCCTGACTTTAGGATTCAGAAATTAGGTTCCATAGTCAACGAAATACCTTGGAATGGGGGTCACTATCCTAGTTAGGTGCCTTTATTTGCAAATGTCAGCTGTAAAATCATGAGATAACTCAATAGGACTTGTGCGACGCTCACAAACAAATTGTTCCTTGTTAACTTCCTTCTCTACAGTCAGTGCTTTGTTCAGGAACCATGGCCGATGAAGATGAGTGTCGTGATCAAGCACAGCGACGAGCCCCAAGGCCCTCAGTGAGCAACATTTGTGCTAGAATGACAACGTTTGGCTTTGATGTGTGCCTGGACGCAAAGTCAGCAAGTGCTGTTTACATCCGCCATGGTCCACTGTACAGGCTGATGGGAGGGCACAACATCAGAATTATAATCAGACCAGGTACACACTTAATAAGACTGTAAGTAATAGGAACAGGTGTAGGCCTTTCAGCCCCTCAAGCCTGCTCTGCTATTCAATGTGAACATGGCCCCTCTGACATTCCTCATGTCCACATTCCTGTCCTTTCCCCATAACCCTTGATTCCCCGACTGATCAAGAATCTGTCTATCTCAGTCTTAAATATACACAAGGACTGTGTCCCCACAGATCTCTGTGGCAAGGAGTTCCAAATACTCACAACCCTCTGAGAGAAGAAATTCCTCCTCATCTCAGTCTTAAATTGGTGCCCCTTTATTCTGAGATTGTGCCCTCTGGTGCTAGACTCTCCCATCAGGGGAAACACCCTCTCAGCATTTACCCTATCAAACCCCTTAAGAATCCTATATGTTTCAATGAGATCACCTCTCATTCTTCTAAACTCCAGTGAGTGGAGTCCCAATCTTTGTTCATAAAACAATCCGTCCATACCCGGGATAACCCTAGTGAACCATTTCTGATCTGCCTCCTATGAAATGATGTATTTCCTTGAATAAGGGGACCAAAACTGCTCACAGTGCTCCAGACGTGGTCTTACCAGCACCTTGTACAGTTGCAGTATGACTTTCATACTCTTTTACTCCAACTGCTTTAACATAAAGGTTAACATTCCATGAGACTTCCTGATTACCTGCTGCCCCTGTGTGCTAGCTTTCTGTGTGTTGTGCACAAGTTCCCCTCGAGCCCCTTTGTGCTGCAGCTTTCTGCCGTTTCTCTCCATTTAATTCAATAAGAGCTCCTGCACTGCTCATTGCACACAGCCACACAACTTATAACAAAGCCCCTTCTTTTGTTTCCCAGTCCAGTCAGAGACAAGGATCGAAAGGTTGCGGCTGGAAGTACAGACAGGTCTCAAAGCAAGTGCTAAAATGGTTCGGCTTCTGGAGGTAGAGGAGCTGCTCCCTGAAAGAGTCCGTACACATACAGTCCTGATAGAGGAATCCCACTCACAGGTCAACCTGTTATATTCTTTAATGCATTTAGAGAAGCTTTAAATTGCTCTTGTGATTTTACAAGCAAAAAATTACATTTCTATAACAGCTTTCATGACCTAAAGTGTTTTATAGTCAATGAATCATAGTGACTTTGTTGCACAGAACTTATGTATTACTGAAACAAAAACATAGATGGAGCTTTTAATCTTGCATTTGTCAGGACTAGAATGCAAGAAACCAAAATTAGAAGGAGAACAACAATGTTTGCAGCACGAAATGATGTGTTGATGATTAGTTGGATCATGATTGGCTGTGGGGACTGTTAACTGTCCATCCTGTTTAACTGATTAAACTCAGAGATTAATCAATTAACTAAGATTGATAGTTAAAGTCCCCAGCGTATATCCATGTATACATTAGTCCAGCCAATCAGCAAACTCTTGTATAAATTATTGTTCCTCTTCTAACATTGCTTCCTTGCATCCAGCTCTGATGAGTACAAGACAGCAAACAGCCACTTTGTGTCTCTTTTAAGTAAATAAATATCTCTTTATGATGTAAGTTCACAATGTGAGAATGGAAAAGGAGTCTGTCATATCCTGAAAATGTTCTTTGTGGATTGTACGAGAAATAAAGGTGTGGGGTGAAGAGAAATGGAAATTTTCTTTCTGGATCACAGTATGAGGGCATAGCTGAGTATCCAGAGGGTGAAGATGCAGATGGCATGTGAATGAGTTTCAAGCTCACCATTATCATCGACAGAGATGAAGAGGAATTCCTTCTGTTAATGGTGGTGAATCTGTGGAATTCTGTACTGCAGAGGGCTGTCAAGAATGGGTTATTAAGTATACTCAAGGCTGAGACAGACAGATTCCTAATCAGGAAGGAAATCAAGGGTTATGGGGAAAAGACAGGAAAGTCGAATTGAGAATTATCAAATCAACCTTGACCTCATTGAATGGTGGAGCAAACTCAATGGACTGAAGGGCCTGCTTCTGCTCCTGTGCCTAGTGGTCATATCATGAATTGAAAGCAATTTCAATCTAATTCAGAGTTAAATTAGAGAAGTGAGCCAATGTTCTATTGTATTCCCTCGCCCCTGTGATGCATGTATGTCAAACCTGCTGAAAGAATTCAAATGTCGTTTAAACACTCGGTTTCTGCTGATTTCATGGTCCACAGTGAAACATAAAGTGGTGTCTCATTTACAGATTAGAATGGAAAACTGCATTTGGGACAAAAGCTCCTCATCCAGGTCAATTTCTACAAGTTTGTCAGGAAGCAAGTCCACCTCTCAAAGATCTGCAGTGTCAAATGATAATTCACACAGTGAGCACCACAACATTCACCAGAAGGAAGATCGACAGGCTCCAATATCTGAAAAGAGCAGCATCAGCACCAGTCATCACACAGATATCAGCTCCAGCAGATACAGGTTCTCCACCAGTGCATGGGTACAGACTCTTCTAACTTCTCAGTTTTTCGAAGCTTCAGTTTTGAAATATTACTTTGAAGCAGTTGTACAGTAGTGGTGATGGACGAGGCTAATGTCCCACTCTGTGTGCTTGGGGAGCAATATTTAAAGTTTGAGGGAGCTTATTCTACTTTTATCTCCAGGGTTGGATGAGTACGAGGATGGGGTTTCTAAACACTTTAATTTGTAAATTTGTCTTTGAACAAATGCCTACCTTACCAACCTGCACTAATGAGCTGCTACTGTCTTTACCTCCCCTTCTGCTGGGGGTGGTGTTTGATATTTTTGCCTGGCAATGGGTAAGGTGACATATGTGCCTTGGTTGTCCAATAGGAAAAAGCAAAAAACAGTGAGATATAGTTGCAACCAATGTCTGAATTTTACATTGCTCAAAGCAAAGGATGGCATTTCACATTTTAAGACTATTACTCTAACAAGAAAAATAAAAATCAGCACAGATCAGCAGTTTATGTTCAAATACAACGTGACCTGGACAATATCCAGTACAGGACTGACAAATGGTAAGCAACATTCATGCCACACAAATCCAGGCTATGACCATATCCAATCAGAGGCAAGCTAACCACCACCCCTTGACATTCAATGGTGTTAGGATCACTGAATCCTCCACTATTAACATCCTGGGGTTCACTATTGATCAGAAATTCAACTCCATTAGCCATATAAATACAGTGGCTACAGGAGCAGGGCAGAGGTTAAGAATACTTCAGCAAGTAAATCACCTCCTGACTCCCCAAAGCCTGCCCGCCATCTACAAGACACAAGTCAGGAGTGTAATAGAATACTCCTCACCTGGATGGGTACAGTTCCAACACTCAAGACATTTGAAAACATTTGAAACAAAGCAGCCCGCTTGCTTGCCATTATATCCACAAACATCCACTCATTCCACCACCGACACTCAGTAGCAGCAGTGTGTACTATCTACAAGATGCACTGCAGAAATTCACCAAGGATCCTCAGACAGCACTTTCCAAACCTATGACCACTTCCATCTCCCAAATCAAATCAAATCAAATCACCATGTAGGGATGTCTCCAAGTTGAGATGTTTATCATGACTTTCCTATCCATCTTTTCAGGATGTTTTGTTCTATCTTATGTTAAAGACAATGTTTTAAAATAATTGAACCATAAAGTTTAGCATTAATGACAACACGTGTCTCCTACAAGTATGATCCCCAAATTTGTTAATGCCTCCCAGAAATGCTGATGCATTCTCTTCCCATTTAAACATCATGTGGAGATGTCAATACTGAACTGGGGTGGACAAAATCAGAAGTTACACGACACCAGGTTACAATCCAACAAGATTATTTAAAATCACAAGCTTTCTGAGTGCTGCTCCTTTGTCAGGTGAAGTAGAGGGAGGTGCACAGGCGCAGAACATATAGGCAGAGAGATAAATGGTACAAAAATTGCAGGTAATTAAGCGTGTCAATAGATAAGTGTAAATAGTGCGAGTAGATACTGTTGATACTCTTAATTACCTGGAATTATCTTGTCATTATCTCTGCGTCTATATATTCTGTGCCTGTGTGCCTCCCTCCACTTCACCTGTTGGAGGAGCAATGTTCTGAAAGTTTGTGATTTTAAATAAAACTGTTGGACTATAACCTGGTGTCATGTGACTATTTAAACATCTTTAGTTCCATTCCCAGTAATTGCACACTTTCAAGGACTAATATACAACAGAGGGAGGGCAGTAGTGATAAATGCACATATTCAAATCAAGGCCCACAACCAACCATGTTGAACAAATGTTTGAGAGCCTACAAAGACCAAGTTTAATCCAGCCATCTATCCTGGACCTCATTATAGTGACTATAAATAAACACAGCAAGCATAGCCGTGGCACCAGATATTGTGAAATCAATCACAGTCATCCTATTCTGCCACTAGCCAACTGCTACAGTGTTCAGGCTTAAGTTGATCTCATTGCAGTATGCCTATTGCATCTAATATGGTTAACTGAACATTACATTTGTGCAAATGTCTGTACCATGCTCCAGAGCAGGCCTAAACGACCTGCTCTGTATCCTGTCCTCTGATTCTAGACTCTCTAAGCAGGAAATGGATCCTTCCTGCATCTAGCTTGTCTGTTATTTGAATTAGCGGTGTTTGTTGTGATTTGACGTGAACAAATCTTCATCCTTATTTCAGCATTTCAAACTATAAAGACTCTTAACCTTAAGTTGATTGGTTTATTTGAGATTATGTTTAAGACTGAATTGACCCCCTCCCCCTCCCCCCCCAACCCACCACCACCCACCCAAACCTTACATGGATACACATCGTGGCAGGAAAATGTGAAGCCTTTTGCCACCTTGATCTTAAGTTCCCTCTATTTCCCGCTGCTTTGTAGCCAGGCCCCCAGCAGGGAGACTAATGGTTAGCTGGGTTCCTCATGGACTGTAATTTGGCTCCAACAGTAAGCTGAGGCCTGAATTCCATTGTACTGGAGGACCCATTGGTCATAGGCACTGGTACGAATCTCATAGATGTTGCTACTTCTCAAGGTGACTGGAAGGAAGAAGAAGGCCCAGTCATGGCCTCCTCTATCATTCTCCCACATCAGCCGCCAGTACACACCAGATTTTATCTGGTCTAAGGGTTGAATAGGGTGCAGAAAAAATGTTGTTATGCCCTTGTCATGCAATTTCCAACCCTCATTTTTCCAAAGTAAAGTTGAGTTCACTCCTGATGGCTTTGCCAACAGCCCATGAAGCCCGTATCTGGAAGCTGAATGAAGACCATAGACTTGATCAGAGTAACAGCCAGAGATTCTACCACAGCTGCCTTGAGCAGGATTAGGAAATCTAGGCCTTATTGATATCGAACGGTTTTACCATCAATTTCTATGTAGCATTGTGGAGCTGATTAAAACATCACTACAATTTGATGGATTCTGTGGAAAACTGTGACTGACATTATTTTATAAAAATATGTGTTTTACAGAGAATGAACCAGGACCTCATGGATATTAAGTTCAAGTCAGTTGGAAAGGTTAAGGTAAGAATATTCTGCTGTGATCTTTCAAAATTATTTTTCTTCATTGTGTACTCTCACTGGGCAACACTTAATCTAGGTTAACACTCCCATGAGGTGTTGTCTGGCCCTTGAGTCTGCCCTCTCAGGTAGTTGTAAAAGATCCCTTGTGCATGAAAGTTATTGGGATTATCCTGAGTGTCCAGGACAATATTTATCCTTTGATCAACATTATACAGAAACAGATAAACACATAAACACAGTGGTGACAGGAGGAAGTCACAGGTTAGGAATACTGTGGAGAGTGACTTACTTCATGATTCCCCAAAGCCTGTCTACCATCTACAAGGCACAAGTCAGGACTGTGATGGAATACTCCCCACTTGCCTGGATGAGTGCAGCTCCAACAGCATTCAAGAAGCTTGACACCATCCAGGACAAAGCAGCCCGCTTGATTGGCACTACATCCACAAGCATCCACTCCCTCCACCACCGACACTCAGTAACAGCAGCGTGTACTATCTACAAGATGCACTACAGAAATTCACCTAAGATCCTCAGATAGTGCTTTCCAAACCCAAGACCACTTCCATCTAGAAGGGCATCAAACATATGGGAGCACCACCACCTGCAAATTCCCCTCCAAGCCACCCTGACCTGAAAATATATCTTCATTCCTTCACTGTCTCTGGGTCAAAAAACTGAAACTCGCTCCCTAAAGAATACTGTGGAGACTGAGGGCCGAGATGAGTACTAAGGGCATTATGGATCAATCTACAGCATATAGACTTTTTTTTTTCTTTATTCATTCACAGGATGAGGGCATCACTGGCTAGGCAGCATTTATTGCCCAGAGGGCAGTTAAGAGTCAACCACATTGCTGTGGGTCTAGAGTCACATGTAGGCCAGACCAGGTAAGGATGGCAGTTTCCTTCCCTAAAGGACATTAGTGAACCAGATGTGTTTTTCCAACAATCGACAATGGATTCACAGTCATCATTAGATTGTTAATTCCAGATATTTACTGAATTCAAATTCCTCCATCTGCCATGGTGGGATTTGAACCCAGGTCCCCAGAACATTCTCTGGGTCTCTGGAGTAATAGTCCAGTGATAATACCACTAGGCCATCGTCTCCCACTGCAGCGTTTCAAGAAGGCAGCTCATTACTACTTTCTCAAGGGCAGCTAAGAATGGGTAATAAATGCTGGCCCAGCTAGCAATGTCCATGTCCCATAGATTGAATAAAGAAAAACTAGGCTGATTCCTGGGATGAAGGAGTTGACATATCAAGAGCAGCTAGACAGATTAGGCCTTTATTCTTGACATTTTAGAAGAATGAGTAGTGATCTATTGAAACAGATAAGATTCTGAGTGGGCTTGACAGCAAAGTGTAGCAATTGTAATAAGGTCAGCCAGGTGGGCATCATTGAAACTGAGTTCCCAGACTTGGGCTCTTCACTTGGTCCAGGAGTGTCAGACATCTTGCTCACTCTGAGAGCTGGCTCTGAGGGAACTGTATCAGTGTCAATGACTTACCACGTGTAAATAAAGGGTGACTTGGTGATAGGATACCAGCCTCTGGGGAGTTATTTCATTGGCGATGAGAGATAAGCATGCTCCTGAAGAAATTCACTCACAACAGTCAACTTTGAGTTGGGGTAAGCATTTCTGGCATCAGAACATTATTTGGGAAGCTTGACTCATTCAATCCAGTAATCAAAGACTGAGCCCAGTATGTGGAAAGAGTGTGTTTTTTTTTCCAGACAAATGACATTGGGGCAGATGAAAAGCGATGAGTAATTCTTCTGACAGCTTGTGGACCTGCAGCTTTTTTGGTTGTTAGGAGCCTAACTTTCCTTGAGGCACCAGACACTAAAACATTTGATGGAATTAGCTAAAGAATATTAAAATGCCAAGTCTCCTCTAATTCTGAGATGCTATCAGTTTTACTCAGTAATTTGAGAACCAGGGAAGTCAGTATTGGGATTTTTGACTAGGTTCAGACAACTGTCTGAGGTATGTGACTTTGGTTTAACCTTTAATGAGATGCTGAGAAACCATTTTGTGTGTGAGATTTATGATGTAACCACGCAAAAGTGCCTACTAGCTGAAGTCCAACTGGACTTCAAACAGGCACAACAACTGGCTTTGTCATTGGAGAATGTACTAAGTGGAGCATATAAGTTGTAGCGTATTCCGATGGAAGTGGACACCCTCACCAGTCTGACTGAGCTTGGGGGACCACTCAAGTGAAGACAATTGCATAGCTTCACTCAGGACATGTCCAGAACAGAGGGACTCCAGGGCAGCCCACAGCAAAACCCCAAAACAAGGCCAAGTCTTGGCCAAACTGTTGACATTTTCTTCAAGATCAAGCCATTGTAGCTGCTGCTGGTATGTGGACTCGACACAGCAAGAGAGTCCCATTAGGACTAAATCAGGGAAGAGAACGTATAGGCTGGTATCCAGGAGAGTGCACACCCTGTAAAATAACTTACATCTGGTTTGGAACAGTTAAATTGCTTAGCAGCATCCAAATCAGAACCAATCAAAATAAACATCTGGTTAAATTTTCACCTGCTTCTACTGGAGATCGATATTGGTACGGCTGTAACAGTTATCGCAGAACCAATCATTAACAAAATTCGTCTGGACTCCAATCGTTAAATTTGTGCAAGACCTCAGCTAGACTGAGAACCTATACCAGAAATACCTTACAGATTAAGAGTCAAATTTGGTTCCATTTTCTAATTAAAAGCAGCTGTAAAAGTTTTGGGCCCAAGCTTGATGTGGCAAAAATGGCTGGGGAAGATTCACCTAGATTGGCTCAACATTTTTATATTAGAAGATGGCTGCCAGAGTCAAGTCCTAATTAAGTACCTAGAAGTTTTTTCAGGAAGGTCTAGGGACTATCAAAGGTGACAAAGCCACCCTGCATATTAACCAGGAAGCAATTCCATGATTCTGCAAGGCCCGTCCTGTGCCTTTTGCCTTATGAGCAAAAGTATAGGCAGAAATCAGGAGGCTAGAAAGTGAAGGAATCATCAAACCTGTCCAGTTTGCAGAATGGGCAGCACCAGTTGTACCGGTTGTCAAACCCGATAGGTCAGTTTGCCTCTGTGGGGATTTTAACCAAATGGTAAACTGCTTCTCGCAGTTGGATAAACACACAATCCCTCATATCGAGGATTTATACGCAAAGCTAGCAGTGGGGGCTGACCTTCATGCAGCTGGAGATGAGCCATTTGTATCTGTAATTGTGGTTGGATGAGCATTCCCAGAAGTATGCTACAATTAATTCCCATAAGGGTTTGTACCAATATACAAGACTGCCATTTGGGATATCGTCAGCCTGTCCACCCTAGGTCACCGTTTACCTAAATGATGTGCCAGTAACAGGGAAGACCAATATGGAGCACTTAGAGAACTTGAAAATAGTCCTTAGATGTTTCTACCAGACTGGCATATGCCTTAGAATGGAAAAATGCATGTTGCAAGCACCCTAAGTGACCTACCTCAGTTACAGAGTCAACAGGACTGGGTTACTCTTATTGGAAGATATCTGTACCAGAGTTTAGATAACACAGTGTGGAGCTGGAGGAACACAGCAGGCCAGGCAGCATTTGAGGAGCAGGAAAGCTGACGTTTCGGTACCAGAGCTTTGGTCTATCTTCAGACTGGTGAATAATTATGGAAAGTTCATACACAATTTGGCCTCCATTCTGGCTCCTTTATATCAATCTTAAAAAAAGGGTCACATAGCCAAGCAAGGCCTTCAGGGAAGTGAAGAAACAGTCATCATTCTGTAAGGTATTGGCACACTATGATCCCAAGTGTGATCTGGCATTGACATGCAGTGCTTCCCCATAAGGCAACGGGGTAGTATTAGCTCATAGGTGACCCAAAGGAGAGGAACGCCCAACAGCATATGCACCCAGGACTTTAGTTAATGCTGAGCATGAATATGCCCAGATAGAGAAGGAAGGTTTGGCGGTCATATTTGGAGTCAGGAAGTTCCACTAATGCCATTACGGATGTAAACTTGTAACAATAATGGACTATAAACCCCTGCTAGGTCTACTTAAAGAGGACAAGGCAGTGGCTTCAGGCAAAATTCAGCGGTGGATTCTAATACTAAGTGCATATTATTACAAGTTGGAACTCTGACCGGAAGGCCAAGTAGCGAATGCAGCTGCATTAAGCCTCCTCCTGCCAGGAGATACATGACCGATGGTACCACTACTGAACTAATCTGTAGTAGTTTTAAATTTTCTCGACACATTTCCAGTCACAGCTGACAATACCAGACTTTGGATGCAGAAAGATCTGGTCCTGGCAACACTGAAACAGCTGGTGGTGATGAGGGAAACCAAATGGCCACAAACAGAATTGAAACCTATTTGGACCCGGAGAGACCAGATCACAGTAGAGGACGGCACATTATTATGGGGAGCAAGAGTGATTGTCCTGAGCAAAGCTCACCACCAGATACTGGCTGAAAGCCACCAGGGTCATCCAGGGGTTTCTAAAATGAAGATGTTGGTGGGTAGTTATGTCTGGTGGCCAGGATTAGTCGCTGACATAGCCACATTGGTGGGGCAGTGCCCGGAGTGTCAACAAGGACAGAAATTACTGCCTGCAGCTCCCCCACATTCATGGGAATGGCCGGGTAAACCCCGAACTCGGCTACATGTTGACTATGTAGGTCCCTTCATGGGATCAATGTTCTTAGTCATTGTGGACGTCCTCTCAAAGAGGCTGGACATGCATTGAGTTCATTCGTCAAACCCAGGGACAAAGATAGAAAAACTGCACGTATCTTTTGCAATACATGGAATCGCAGAAGTGTTGGTCCCAAATAAGGGGCCATTGTCTAATAGCAGGCAATTTGAGTATTTCCTAAAGTCGAATGGCATTCGACATATAAGGCCAGCTCCATACCATCCATCATTCGAAGGTTTGGCAGAAAGAACTTTCCAAACTTTGAAGGAAAGCTTAAAGAAACAGCTTACAGCTTCACTC